AGCCAGGGGATGTTAGAGCTGCCCTCCCTGGGGTGTGGCCAGGCTAGCAGGATGCTATGATTAGCCCAGCAGGGAATTGATAACAGTGTTTATCACCCCTAACTCAGTGTTTATCACCCCAATCTCAGTGTTTATCACCCCATTAAGAAAATAACACAGGGACATTACCAGCTACCTGTTGATTCAGTAGGGACCATAGCCAGCATGTGGTTTGCTAGCTAATACATGGACACCAAAACAGAGGGGAGGGGGAAATTCCTGCTTAGTGGGGAATAATTTAGGGGGGGAGAGGTGAGCAGCCTGTAGTCTCTGCTGGAGCTGCAGCCAGAGGGAAGGGGCCTACGCTGCTGTGGAACAGAGAGCCCCACCCAGCCCAGAGAGCATACCGGGATGCTGGGGGAGTCTGATTGATCTTAAATCAGCAAGTGGTCTGGGATAGACATTTCATAAACCAGTTTGGCCCAAATCACTTAAGTCAGATGATACATTCAGCCAGGTTTCTCTCAAACCGGTTTCAGCCATTTTCAGACTGGTTTATGTGCACTGAATGTGTGTTCCTTTACAGGTTTAAACCCCTTTCTGATCACTTAGACTGGTTTATGTGTAATGTCTGTCCCTAGGCTCATTGTTACTCTACATGTAGGCAAGAGAGAGGTGGAAGGTTGGGTACAAAAACTAGAACTCTGTGGCAACACCTAAAGGTACTAATACATTGTGCTGCTCTAGTGCAGAGGATGTCTATTTGCTTAATGGTGGGAGAGCATGGGCAGCTAGAGCTGCCTGCAGTCTCCTGTTGCCCCTGGCAAGTGCTCCTGGGATTTGAGAGGCCTGATCCTGTGCACCATGGCAATTCTGGCACATGATTGGGTACCTCAAGCCTCAGAAGTACCTGCCTGACTTTCCCTGCTTCCAGAGACACATTACTGGCAATCTTCACGGTGGCCTCTGGAAGCAAGGGAAAGTTGGAGTTCACCACCTGCAGAGACTCAATCTCCAGGAATCCCAAAGATTACTGTGTGCATCTCTGAAAGCAAGGAGTATGTCGCCCTTTGTTCTGCAAGATCAATGGGACATCAATGGGCAGTACAACAGGCATGTGTCTTTTGCCCAACAAAGTGGATCAGCTGTGCTGGAACATATCCCCACATAAATGATCTGTTTCATTTGGCAATGTTTGTTTCTAGCTGAAGAGAGGCAAAGGGCTAGAGGAGAAGAAGACAACTCCTTCCCTATACTTGTAAAGCTATGGTTCTCAACCTTGTTAGATTCGTGACACTCCTTGGAAAATGCTAGCTTTTAACTTTTATTTTTTACTACAGACAAATAATAGAGCAGTTCTTTCATGGCAAAAAATGTCAAGAACACAACTGGTCAGTGTTTTTTACACTGTAGATGTCTGTTTAAAATCTCTGGGTTTATCTTGTGAATCATGTGTAGATGCTTCCTCCCTGTGGCACTGTGGCTGAGAATTCACTGCCTTAAAGTTAACAGAGTAAGTTGAATTTATTTGTGCACAGGCATTAGATAGCTCTCTCCCTTATGCAGTTTGGTTGGATTTTCAATCTAAAATAATCTCTTTCATTTCGGAGAGAGTTATTGAAACTCAGGTGGCAAATGAAGAAAAATGTGGTTTACTGAAAAATGTAAAATGTGGTTTACTGAATAGTAGCTAGCTGAAGCCAATTTTTAATTTTGCCTCTTGGTATTTGAACTCTTAGGCTTAACAATATTTGTTCTCTCAGCCAAAGAGTATGAGCCAAAGAGTCACCAGATTCATGCCCATATGTCAGGAAATAATATGCGAGAGGCAAGGATTTCTTCGGGTGATTCGAAAGCTTGTCTAACTTTATCCCAGCTATATAATCGGTACGATAAAAGATATCACTCTACGAAATCCTTGACTCTTGCATAAGCTCTGGATCATCATGGCAACAACCTCACCCTTACACTACTTACAAAATAATATAAAACATAAATATAGAAATATAATATAAATGAATATAAAACAGGAAATTCTTTAAAGTTTGAAGGGGTTTTCTGTACTATTTATTTAAGTTCTGCCATCTCATTCTCAGGGAAAAATGACATTAGGATTTAAAAAGTAAAAATAACATGTATAGCCCTAGAAATATCTGGATATATTCTGATCCATATAAAACTATAATATAGGGCCTGATTCTGATCTTCTTTGCCAGCAATAAACTTTCTGAGGAACCTTATTTTCTCAGTGAATAGTCCTATTGGAACTATTCAAGATAAATAGATATAAATGGAAAAGCTAATGAAATACAGTGTTATTCAGCTTGAGTAAGAAGATTGGCATCGGGCCGTAAATAACTAAAGTAAAAATTAAAGTTCTTGATCTTGTACACACTAATGCATGCGAGTAATTTCATGCATGTGAATTTTGCTAATGAGTCAAAGGGCCTGATTCTGGTAACTTCAAATTCTTTGTAGCTCCCAGTGAAGTCACCTCTTAGGACTGGGACAATTGGGGGTATCTCTTGAATCTGACATTATTCTGCTTGCAGGATTAGCTTTAATTCTATGCTGTTTTCAGTTACAGATATTCAATTTAGACATTACTCGGGACCAAACATGAATATATTTTTTGAGGCAGATCTGCAATGTAAGGAAATTTGAAGAACAAAAGCGGGGAAAAAAAAACTATAACAATTTTAAAGAATTGCATCAGTAAATAAATATGCCAGTAAAAGTCCTGAACAGCTTTGGTCATGCTGATTGATATGATTTGAAATATGGTTAGTTTCTTTTTCCTGAGCAAATGTAGAACTTCACAGTTTAGCTATTTCTTTATAAACATGACCTGCGGTGATGCGGTCAAGTATGGTAAAGAATGTATGCTTCAGAAGGTTTAGATACTTGCAAGACACTCTGGTCTTTATTTGGAACAGATACTGTAAAATATATTCAGTGTATTCTGATTGATGCACAACGTATTCTTATCTAAGAACTATATGTCTGTCTGTTCAAAGAAAACATTTAACTTGCTTTTCCTGTCAAAATGAAACCTAGGTATTGGGATGCAATGTTTTGGCAATGTAATAAATGGCAATGTATAGCCTGTGTTCAGATAAACAGATAAGAATGTTTTAATTAATCTTTATGTTCATTGTTTTTTATGATTAAGCCCTGCCCGCTTGGTCAAATATTTTAGTTTATCACAAACAAATAGAAACTTAACAAGTTTACCTCCTTATGTTGTATTTTGAAAGAAATATTTTAAAACTGCGTTGAACAAGCTCCAAAAATAAGTTGGTAACGCTGAATACCACAGTGTTCAATAGTCAAATGATAGAATAGGTGTTTTGCTTGCCAGTATTCCTTCCAAATTGCTATAATGCTGTCTTGATTTCGGTTTTTTTCCTGAAAGGAATACTACTTGCAGTGATAAAAAATGTTGATTAGGAAATGCTATAATATTCCCAGAAGTGCTATTTTGCAGAGGTATGGGGTCAAATTATATGGTAATTTAAACTATGTACAATCCCACTAAAATTGATAGGTGCATCCAGATGAGCATGGATGTGCAGTGTCTGGTACCACAGACCTGTCTGCAGTGCCATACAACACACATTCTCCATGATACTACTTTGCAGGGGAGGGGAGAGATTTCTGACCCCAGGAAATCCCGGTGTCAAAAAGATCCACACCAAAAAAACCAGGGTGATGCATGTGGCAGCAACGCATGGCCAAAACCGGAGCCTGGCTGGCCAGAGCCAAACTTTGGCTACCAGCCACGCTTCCTGCTGCAGGCGTGCCATGGGTGCAGCTCCTGGATGCCTCCAGGACCCCAGGTAAAGCTGCATAGTTGCTGGTCTCAGCCTCCCCTACCCCACCTGGAGTGAGCTGCTGCGTGCCAGAGTGCACATGGCAGTGGCATTGCCCAGGGACAAGTAGCAGCGGCACAAGGTGTGCTGCTGCTACTTTTCCCTAGGGAAGCACACATTCCCAGTCATCTGGATGCACCCAATGGAACTATGCAGGTCGTAAACCTTTGCAGAATTTGATCCAGAATGTTATGTTAGTTTGGAACAATGGTTTATATAAAAGTATATATACATGTATGTGCGTGCATGCGTGCGTGCATGTGTGTGTGTGTGTATAAAATAACTGGATGCTAGAGATGGGTGGTAAGTTTATCAGGGGTGACCACCAGTATCTGGGAGAATGTTTGTTCACCAGAGCGCTCCAAGGGATGACGAGGTCGAACGGTTATAAACTACTGCAAGACCATTTTAGGCTGGACATAAGGAAGAATTTCTTTACTGTCCAAGCCCCCAAGGTCTGGAATAGCCTGCCATCGGAGGTGGTTCAAGCACCTACATTGAATACCTTCAAGAATAAATTAGATGCTTATCTTGCTGGGATCCTATGACTCCGGCTGACCTCCTGCCCTTTGGGCGAGGGGCTGGACTCGATGATCTTCCAAGGTCCCTTCCAGCCCTAATGTCTATGAAATCTATAGGCCAGATAGGACCCTGCACACCAGAATCAGGCCTGCACGCCAGGATTGGGCCCTGTGTGATCTCAGCTGGCTCCTTCATGAAGGATTGGGTTCCACAAGCCAAGATCAAGCCCTGGAACCTGCTCTACCTCTGTCCGACCCCACTTGCTGGGTTCAGGGTCCTGTGCCACCTTTACCTTGTCCTGTATGCTGGGATCAGGTCCTTTACTGCCCTGTGTACCAATCTAGTGTGCAGATCCATGGACTGGATGTCACAAAGCCAGGGAACAGATCTGGTCTGCAGGCCAGGGGTTGAGAACCCTAATAAAAATTAATATCTCATACTAAATACCAGTAATTTTTTATTTCAAGGCAGCATTTCTGGTAAGTTTACTTAAAACTTCAGAGCACCAATTCTTTTTAAATTCCTAAATTAGGAAAGTATATTGTTCCAGCTTTCTTGTAAACCTTTGGATATGCATGTAAAAGTACATATAAAGATCTTAGTATTTCCCTTCTTTCCAACTGTTAGCATCAACCGGCATGGGACCTGGACATCATGTGCATCAGAAATGGAGGTTCCCCAAGCCAGAAACTCTTAAAAGATTCCATAGCGGTTAAAGAATTACAGACCATGGAAAAACACCTGGCTGGTATGTATAGTGACAAAAGATCATAAAACACTGAACCCTATTCACCCAACCGCCATTAAAATTCATAAGTAAAAGAAAGGAGGGCTTAGCTGATATGCTGACAAGGCTAGATGAGGAATTAATTATAAGCTCTCTTTCTTTTTCATTGGCTTTTCATTGGACAGACAGAAAAAATACAACATTTATTTGAAGACACAGAATTTTAAACTTTTAAATTTGAATATGTATGATAATTTAAAAATATCCCGATGACTTTCTGATGTACACATTTTAATAGCTACTGATGCAGTGCTTGGTGGTCAGGTATTGGTGTTAGACCTAACATTTATAAGACTTCCAAAAGACTTTAGCTGGAATGAGCCAGCCTGGTCTCTGGGGCTGTATATAGATAATCAAAAAGCGTAAGGCTGAACCAATTTAATCTTTGCAGGTTAGTCTAAATTGCATAGATTGAACTGATAAGAAAGTGAACAGACATTCACTTTTCATTCTGGAAATGCAGTTACATGCCTGCAGTGGCCCAGACCAGAAGGCAGAGGATGCTAGGGCATGCCTCCCTGCTCGGCTGGAGCAGAGAGCTTGGGCCAAGACTAGCCTGCCCATCCTGTCAAGCGGGGTTTGCCAGGGAGATGCAAAGCATCCCTGCATGCTGGGGGACTGTGAGTTAACTTGAATCTAGAGGGAATTTGGGACAGAAGTTCAGTAAACCCATTTAACCTAAATCAGTTAAATCTGATACTGTGTCCATCCACGTTTATCTTAAACTAGTTTCAGCCATTCTGAAAGCAGTTTGTGTGCACTGAACTTCTGCTGTGTTACAGATTTGAACCAGTTTCTGATCACTTATCCTAATAAATTTCTGTCCCTAGCCTGGGAGATTTCATGGAGAACTAAGGCAGTGTAAAATCAGCAAGATTATCCCCATTATATGCAATGTCATTTGTGCTGAAGCACTGACAGGATTAGTATTTTTTTTAAGAGTATGAAAGGAAAACAGTTTGTGTGAAAGTATTTTGACTGGGGTTTTTTTTTAAATATACTTCGGCCACTTGGAATATGGCTTTCCCTCCTTCCTTTTTTCTCCCTCTAATTGTAATGAATATTTTTGTTTAGACTGAGCATAATAAATCATTCAAAACATACACCATTTTTACAAAATCATATTGGTTTACTCTGAATAACAAGTTATATTAAACAATTCATAACTGTACCCAGCTCGCAGCTTGCTCCACCTTTGCTCGGCGTTGCCCCGCACTCCGCAGGTGCTCCTCTGCGTTGCCCGCAGCCTGCTCTGCTGCACTGCTCGCAGCTTGCTCCACCTTTGCTCGGCGTTGCCCCGCACTCCGCAGGTGCTCCTCTGCGTTGCTCGCAGCCTGCTCTGCTGCACTGCTCGCAGCTTGCTCCACCTTTGCTCGGCGTTGCCCCGCACTCCGCAGGTGCTCCTCTGCGTTGCTCGCAGCCTGCTCTGCTGCACTGCTCGCAGCTTGCTCCACCTTTGCTCGGCGTTGCCCCGCACTCCGCAGGTGCTCCTCTGCGTTGCTCGCAGCCTGCTCTGCTGCACTGCTCGCAGCTTGCTCCACCTTTGCTCGGCGTTGCCCCGCACTCCGCAGGTGCTCCTCTGCGTTGCTCGCAGCCTGCTCTGCTGCACTGCTCGCAGCTTGCTCCACCTTTGCTCGGCGTTGCCCCGCACTCCGCAGGTGCTCCTCTGCGTTGCTCGCAGCCTGCTCTGCTGCACTGCTCGCAGCTTGCTCCACCTCTGCTCGGCGTTGCCCCGCACTCCGCAGGTGCTCCTCTGCGTTGCTCGCAGCCTGCTCTGCTGCACTGCTCGCAGCTTGCTCCACCTCTGCTCGGCGTTGCCCCGCACTCCGCAGGTGCTCCTCTGCGTTGCTCGCAGCCTGCTCTGCTGCACTGCTCGCAGCTTGCTCCACCTCTGCTCGGCGTCGCCCCGCACTCCGCAGGTGCTCCTCTGCGTTGCTCGCAGCCTGCTCTGCTGCACTGCTCGCAGCCTGCTCCACCTCTGCTCGGCGTCACCCCGCACTCCGCAGGTGCTCCGCTGCGTTGCTCGCAGCCTGCTCTGCCTCCACCTGGCGTTGCCCCGTCCTCCGCAGGCGGCGGCTGATCCCCTGCTCGTTGGGGCTCCGCGCCTTGTCTCGCTCCCTTCAGCCGCCCCTCTGCCTCGGCACGGTCGCCATTTATTTCTCCCGTCCGGCGTGCCCCGCCCCCGTCGTTCAGCCGCAGCCGAATAAACGCCCGGCTGACGACCCGCGCCGGCGCTACCGGCGCCTGGGGTTTCTTCGGCTCCTCCGGCCCTGCTGGAGGTAAGCAGACCCCTTGACCGCCGCGGGGGTCTCCCAGTGCCCCCGCTCCCCTGGGACAATAACCTAGAAATATTTTGAAGTATACAGTCCTGCAGGTCTGTGCTGTATTTACTAGACATCATACCACTTCATGCTGATACCATAGCAAATAGCAAGCCTGCTTTTTAATAAATGTGATTCTGGAGGTTTGAAGATGTGGTACATGAAATAGAATTGACAGATATAAAAAGGTAAGTTATAATATAAAACTAATTCCAAATCAACTTTTCTCCTAACCACAAAAGTGTAGGGTCAGAATACTTTAGGCCAGAGGTGCACAACCTCTGTCCCATGGGCCAAATGTGGCCCTCAGAGCCTTCCCCACAGGTTGGGAAATGTGGTGGTGAGGGAGCAGTGGCAGGTAAAACTGTCACCCGTCCCTACTGCTAAACTCCCAAGCCCCATGTGAAGGGTCGCATCTGGGCCACAATCCTCCCCCAGCGTGGCCAGATTGGGGCTAGACCATGCCCCCTTCCCTGTGTGCAGATGGTTTGGGGCTAGTCCATGCCCCTCCCACCAGTTCCAGACCACTCCCCCTTCTCTCTGCCCAGCCAAGTTAGGACCAGGCCGCACCCCCCCATAGGGTTGGGCCATGCCCTGTTTCCTCCCACCCAGTCAGATTGAGCCCAGGCCATGCCTCCTTCCTCCTGTGGGGTCAGGCCACATCCCTTCCCTCCCTGGGGCTTGATTGGGTCGGGTCATGCTGCCTTCCCCCCCACTCAGGGCTGGGTTTGGGCCAGGCTAGGGCCCCCCCTGTTGGGGTCAGGCCCCCCTTCTCCCATATGGCTGGATTGGGGCTGGGATGCTTCCCCACCCACCTCTGCATGGCCAGATGGGGCCCTGACACTCCTCCCAGGCACCAGATTAGGTCCACCGTCTAGATCTGGCCTGCAGAGGGTCCAGTGGCACTACCCATTCAGCCTGCTGGACAAAAAGGTTGAGCACCAGTGCTCTAGACTTTCAGGTGGAAATAAATACAGGACCTGAGTCCATGGAGTGACAGCAGGTTGGGCAGTGAGGGGTTCCTAAATTCCACATGCACCTTTTTAAATAGTGTATTATGGCCTTGGGTAGTTCACCTTCCTACCTCATTATTTTTTGGTGATAAACCACCTGTGATAAGCCACCAGTCTACAGTTTTGATCATACTTTTTTAAGAAGACTGCTGCAATATCCTGCTTTGAAGTATCGTTTTAGCACTTTCTGACTGAGGCCTCTTTAACAAACTCCTTTAGTTTCTCTAATTCTTTATTAAAATGTACATCTCTTGTCAGCCAGGTGTCTTTCCCCAGTGCTCTCAGGTTTTTGGTTTGGGTAGCTAGATGAAGATTCAAATTCTTTAAAGCCAGCTTCCTGTTAGAAAGAAACCTACCTTCTGGCTGTTTTCTCTTTTCAGAGCATACATTGCTTGGAAATGTACAATGTTTTAAACTTGTGTAGCTATATAAAACAGATTGATCAACTGTTCTTAATATTTTGAGCATTCTGTCAGAGCTTTTAAGTTTTCCATCCTTTTAGGCATAGTATTTTCTTACTTTATTTTACTTCTAGCACTGGTACTAACTATATCTCAGAAAACAGTTAAAGCCAGAGAGTCTAACTGAGATTTACTTTACTATTTGTGTCTAACCTATCAACTTGCTACAATATGAACCTTCAGATAAGTTAATAAGCAGTTCCAACTGTGGCCAGAATCATACTGAAGTGAATGAAAACCAGGTTCTTAAACCCTATGATTTCTTTTTCACCCTGAGGTGCATAGCATACAGAACAAAGGGTTAAAACAAGAAATGATGTATTTACATAATCTCATTTCCTACTGTTTAAACCTTAATGTTTCCTTGCAAGTTTTGGTAAGTTCTTTTCTCCCCGGTTACCTCCATCTGTGCGCTAGGAGAAGCATACTGCTTTTTGAGTTGCTCTATCAGTGTGCATCTCCTCTTTGGACCACTGCCCGCACAACCCTGTTTCTCCAAAGCTAATGTCTCTAAAGTTTCAGTATTTCTTGTGTTTGTAAACTCAGGCCTGGAAAATGGAGCTAGGCTGGGGTATAGCCCACTGAATACCTTCTCTTTTGTCCCTTCAAACTCTCTTGGTATTCTTTACAATATATCTTTGTTTCACTTTTAGTGTGTTTCCCTTCTGAAAAGTTTCTTTTAATTTAACTCCTTGCAGTCATGCAAGATAATATGAAGCAGGTAAACTGTAGTGCATATCTATACAAAGAGATATATTGCATATAGTTCCTTTATTCTTTACTTTGGTACTCTAACACACCTGATAATGGGGTAGTCTGCAATACTTTATCTGTCCTCATACAGTTTGTGCTGTTGGTAGCTGACACTACACTGTGGAATTGTCTTGATGTATTTTTGCCCTATAAGCTGGCCTCAGCTGAGTACTGTAGCAGTGGGCCTTCTTGATTAATCTGTTCCATTCTTCCACATTTTTCATATAGATGTGGTCTTACCTGTTCTACTCTCTTTATTTTCTATATCTAAACTTGTAGAATTTGGCTTTGATTCAGCAGAGGTGAATACAGCATTTTTAGCAGGTATAAAGTTTCTTCTGTCTCTGCAAACTGCCTAGTAACATTTTTCTTTCATAAGTTACAGCTGGCTAAGGACAGCTTTGCACTTCCTGAAGGTTGAGCAGTTTTTTTGTTGGAATTTAATTCAGCCAAGTTGGCAATTTGGTTTGGAGTAGTTATTCTGTGGTTACTTTTCCCCTTTAGAATATGTTTTATAATAAAAATAATTTTTCAATACATAAAAATCTTGTAAATATGTTATAAATCAAACCCTAAGCCTGGCATTTCTGAGATGTAAGTACTTATAACAGTCGATTGCCCACATTTTATTTTCCTTAAATGACATTGACAGGTGGTTTTCTTAAAAAAAAAATCCTAAATCATGCCCCAGTTGCAACATTTGTTACGTATCAAATAATGCTATCATGTTGGAAACATGAAACGAGGTTTATGCTTTTAATTGGAAAAGCTGATGTTGAAGCAAAATCAAAAGTGATAATGTGTGGAATAAGACTGTAAAGTTTCTGTTGTGGAAATCTTCTGAGTTATAAAGAAATGAGTAAAAACATTAGTTTATCTGCAAACTAATTTACTGCCTAAAATTAAGGAAACATGCCTATAAAAAACAGTGTAGAATTCTTATTAGGATATGGTGGGTGCATCTACACATGAAATTAATTCAAGTGAATAAATTCCAGCTCATATTGTGTGGGAGTTTTTTGCTCCTGGGCAGAGCCGACTCAAGCAGGGTGACGGGCCTGGGGCAAATCAGCTCATGCAGGGCCTCTTCAATCCTGCATGCCCTGGATGTGAAGAGAAGGCGGTGGGGGGAGCAAGCAGCCGGACACAAAGCTGGCGGTGGTGGACTGGAGTTGCCACGGCCACTCTGCCTGGTTCTGCGGGGCCCCCCAAAATGCGGGGCCCAGGGTAGTCACCCCGATTCATGCCCCACTAGGGACAGCCCTGCTCCCGGACACATCTTCATGTGCACCCAGGACTACAGCACATTGAGCAGCCAGGACAGAGTAGCCCCAGCTGTCAGGGGCTCAGAGGGTCAGCCTGGCAACTGGAGCTGCTCTGACCTGGCTTAGCTCACTGTGATAGGGCTGCATAGTGCAGCCCCTATGCAGGGCTAGCCTTCAGTGTCTACACCTGTGTTGCTGCACAGTAAAGAACTCCAACTGCATGATAGTACTTGTATTTACACAGACTAACCTGCAGTGGACTTAATTAGTGTCTTGCAGCCTAATAGGGTTGCATGTGTAGATACTGAGGATTTACTGTAGAGCTAATTAGGCATCTGTACTGTAAATGTCTTATGTAGATGTGCCCAGTTATTTCAGTTTTCCAGCACATTTTCCTCAGGATCAAAGGAGGAAGTAAGAAACCTCAATCATTTTGCATAGATGCAGGTTAATTAAATTTTTTACAAATGTTCTGTTTGGTTTAAATGATGAAACTTGCATTATCGTGTATTGATCCCGGGGATTTGAATTGGTTATCTTATGAATTCCAAAGTCATATGTATTGATTTTTTTTTAAAAAGAAGCTCAATGTAAGACTGCTTACAAAGCATAATTATTTTAAAATGTAACAAGCTGATTTTATGAGGTGAGTCTTTCAGTTAGATTTTTAAAAAATTAAAGCAGCAATAAGAAATATCCTCAACTGTCTACCAGAAATATAAACAGTCACTGCCCTTTTAAATTTTCTAGTAGCGAGACACTTGATCATTAAAGAGTTAGGAGATTATATCACTTGAGACTTCACTAATAATGTAGTTCATTCATCATCATCTTTAATAACAATGTGTTTTCATGTTTTGAATATATTATTTTACACAAACAATGAACAAATTGACCCAATTAATTTTTCTGACTTGTAAAAAATTACGTGTGTAAAATGTGAAAAATGTGTAAAAATGAACAATTTTAAAATGGCAAGCTGATGTTATTAGTGGTTGTTCATAATTATTAAATGAGCAGTGTAAACATTTTTATGCAGTAAACACAAATGGAAATGAATGAGAATGGATTTTAAATTATAATAGTGTAAATTTAGGATTTATGTTTTCCTCGATTAATTGCTGTCACAAAGGTTTTGTGTAGGTTCACTTCATGGGGCTTGAAGTCAATGGTGCTGTATGGATTTACAGTAGCTGCAAATGTGGCTCATGCTGCTGTTTGTTCTAAAGGAAACCAGTTGCCTTTATTAAAGCAAAGGTGAAATAGAGACACCTTCCAGTCAAGGTGTGAAATTGAGAAGTGGTTAGATATAAATTAGATGAATCAGTAAATGCTTCCTTCAGCCCTCTTGACATTTTTACTTGTGAAAATTTTTTACTGTGTCACCTTCCAAGCATACCAAACTATCCTCATCTTAATAATGCTGGTATGTAATGAAATGATGTTATACACCTGAAAATTAGAAGCATAAAAGTTTTTGTTGAAATGAATTCAGAAGCACAGATTCTTCACAAACTCTGAGCTGTCTTTTAATATGTTGCTTGTCCTTTAGTATATTCTTTAGATTTCAGAAAGGTAAACTTCCATTCAAATCACTCAGGAGTTTGATTTATATAAAGAGTAGGACAGGACGCCCCTTAAAGGACCAGATTCACTCTTTAGGTTTTAAACCAGAAGTCAGCAACATTTTTGGGCAGAGTGCCAAAAACTCCTGTAACCTTGACTTTGAAGATCTTGGCAGAGGCAGATGGTGGGGGAGCCACAAGGGGCCTGGTCCTTGTTGTAGCAGGGCAGCCCTGGTCCCTTCTCCACCGTCTGCCCTGAGGCGGCTGTGCCAAGCAAAATTCTTTCATGTGCCATGCTCTGACACCCATGCCAAGGGTTACCTTACCCCTGTTTTAGACCATGGCTGAAGTCAGTGAAGCCTGTGCAACTGCAAGCTAGAACCATCAAATCTGGATCCAGATTTGGTCAAATTTCCAATTGCAGGAAAGTTTAAGGGTGTTTGGATATAGAGGGTTTTTTTGGCCCATATAAAGAGAGGAGCCAAAAGGAAAAATCACAACTTGAACCAAGTTCACGTTCCACTCTCACTACAGTTAAGGACTCTCAAAATCCAGAATTTTGTTCTAGCTCTCGTCTATAGAAAAGAATAATTGCATAGAAGTTAGTGGTATAACTTGGGTGGAATGTTTGATGATATTACTGCTTTTAAAGCCAGATAGAAAAGGTAGATTGAAAAATGTTGTATAGAAAAGTGTATAAAAAAATATGGTATGTCTGATTTTACAATAAATCAAACAAACAAAAAAACTAGTATTTAAAGAATGAGTTTTCACTAGTTTTATCCCTGAGGCCTGGGAATCACTTGCTCAAACCTGAAATCAACTGGCAAATTATGAAGAAGTGAGAAATCCAAACCATTGTATCCATTCTTTCAATGTAAATATTACTATTGTCTTTTTCTGCATGCAGACATTGAAAAGGACTTAGCACTCTGGGAAGAAGCAAGGCTGTCAAGGAGCCCTAGTAGTCAACCTACTAATTTAGTTACTTCAGATCATCCAGGAAACCGTCAAGCAACACCAAGCCAAAATTCAAGGCCTCAAGTGCCAACTCAATCTGGGAAAAATGTTCAACTCCAGCTGCAAGGAAATAAATCACCACCACTACCTAATAACAGCAGAACCCAGGTCTGCAGTATCTCAAACAGTAGGCCTCAGACTCCCAACATGCAGACCAACAGGCATCCAACTCCATCAACAGGAAACAGACCTGTGACTCCGAATAGTTTGCTGTCACAACCTCTAACACCTAGCAACCAGGAAAATAAGGAAGGAATCATTAGTATGCAAAGAAGCAGGTCTTTAACATCTAAGAGCCAAATGGGGAGGACCCTTGGAACTCCTTCAGGGCTAGCTGTCCAAATGAGTGGAGACATTTTTGGAACTGTCACTCAGAGAAGCAGTATATCAGAAGTAAGATTTAAAATTATTTTTCCCCTCTAGTTTTAAGATTATAAATACTATGAAATTAGAATTTGAGGGTGTGTTTTAGTTTGTGTTTCACTTTAAATGAAAACACCAATACCTTATAATAACGTACCACCAAGATGAATCAAAGTCATATGGCATTAGAAATTTGAGAAAAGGGACATGGTATTTTCAGGTTTGTGTGTCTGGGGAGTGATCTTCCTGTAGTTACGCAAACTACATTTCCAGTGGGGTCAATGGAATGTTTACTTACATAATGGACAGCAGAATTAATGCCTACCGAGAGCAATACTGTTTCTAAGACTGTGCTTATGTACAAAATATTAAGCAAGAGCATTTTTGTGGAATTTCTGAGTTAAATTTTTCATAGCACTGATTATTTTCAAGTTTAACTTTCTACAAGAAAAATATCTGAAATATTTGGCAAGTAATTATGTTAATTAGATGCATTTTGAATTGGTAGGTTTTATCTTTAATAATACAAAAATATATTCTGAGAAAAACAGACATAATAGAGCAGGACTTAATAAGTTTAATACTGCTTTCCAAACTGGTCTAATTCACAGAATAAAAAAGCTTTTTCCTACATAGTCATAGGTTTTACATAATTAGTCTACAGTGAAAAGAAAGACAAAGTACTTTGGAAATGATACTACCAATTTTAGAATACCTTTTAAATAGATTGGTTAGCACAGAGTCTGCAGTGCTATTTTTTTTCCCCAGATGAGTTTTCTGAGAGACATTACTGGCCTTAAAAAAGTGTTTGGAAATGGCAGAAGGGCATAAAATAAGTCAAATGAGGCTAATTATTCTGTAGTGGGAAAAATTAAATACCGGCATTGGTTACACTGAGTTCTAGGGATGAAATAAAATCAGAGGTTATCATTGGATACTTTTTTAATAATCCTAATATACCTTTCATTATGTGCTATGGAAGACAGAAAGCAGAGACAAAAATGACTCCACATCTGCAGAAGGTGAAGAGCAATCTTTCCCATAATTGCCATTGTTTCTGAACATCCTCACAAGCTTCATTGCTAGAAATTAGAATCTATGTAGGTTCTGCTGTTGTTCTCCCTGTCTTCTCCCTTAGAAACCTACATAGTCCTTTGAATTGTAAGTGTGGGTATTCACATACTTCTGATTCATCACAGTAATCTTTTGCAAACCCCTTAGACAATAGTCTGTGGACTCACAGGGGTCTGTGGACTACAAGTTGAAAACCACTGGTCTAGGATGAGTAAGGAATCCCTAACAGCAACTTTGTGGCAAGAATAACCCTGGCTTTTTCTGAATGTGTAGATAACATGGGAAACAGTTAAATTATAACTGTAGGAAATTTGAACTTTATAAGGTATACTACTTTGTACAGTAATTGTACACACTCCCACTTCACTACATGGACCACATAAAAGAGAGGAAAGTTATATTTATTACCCTTTAGGCTTGTGCCATAGAACTTCTATTAGATAAGACTGCACTGCAGCTACAGTACATCTACTGTATGAGATGCTATGCGGAAAGCCTGAGAAAAACCAAAAAGACCACCTCCTTCTTCGGCGGAGGAGTATATCAGGAGTAACTACTGAAACCAGTGGAGTTAAACTAGTTTAAAGTTGGTGAAAGCAAGAAAAAAATTACTCAATTGATAAAAGTAGATTTGCAAAATTCTAGCAAACAGTTTCCATATTTTGCATGGGGATCTTGTTAGGATATGATTTACTGAGCTGAAGAATTCACTGTGTAGACCTGTAGTTTAAAAGTACAACTTATGTTATCATTAAATGGAATGATGAACTAATTCAGTGAAGTGTTCTTAATATATTTTAGTGCTTTATGTAAATTTGCTATGCAGGTTTTAAAAACTAATAAGAAATAAAATCCAGAAAAAGTTATTCTTGGGTTTGTAGTAGAGATCATATTAAAACTAGGCATGGTTTAATGGTGTTATAGAGCAATTCTCAAATAACTTGGCAAAGATTTAACATGTCAGCTGTTAAGCTTTTAAAAAATGCTCAGGATCTTAGCTCTGTGACCCCCATCAAAAAGAATTACAAGTTGTCTAATGATCTGAGTTTTTGTGCTCAGGAATTCTTGTCTCTTGACATAAATAATACTTTATCTACAGTTCTAGCAGGTGCATTATATTGCCAAGTCTGTTCATGGGTAAACTGAATATAATAAAGATATGTTACCTAGAGAAATATCTTTATAAGACTAATAAATCAAGTCTTAAATCTTTTTTTTCCACATACATTTATATTCCACATACAGATATATATTTAGTATTTCCATTTCCTTTTTATTTTACATAACTTGACAAAGAAATGTTGAATTTTGTTTCTCTCTTCAGGACAGGATCTGTTAGTTTGATACAACTCAATTATAGATCTCAACTGTTGTGAGAGGAAAGTACCATTGACTTGCTTAGTTCCAGTTTCATTTCTTGAACCACTGGATTTTTACAATCAATGTACAAATGCGAATAACTGAAAACCGTTTAAATATCTTTTCATTTTTCGTCCTGTCATTTACCATGCATCTTTACAATAGGAAGACTTAACTAATTTGGATTTCCTATTGAATAACACATTATACCTAAATGAAGAGACTCTGTTCTTAGTACCCTGGTATAAATCAGAAGTAATTTATTTAATATCAGTTAAAATGCTCTTGATATACACTGATGCAAGTGAGAATAAGACCTTTGCACTAAATTAGAGGGCTGTGGTGGCATGGGGAAGTCCTAGATGTCCTTGGAACAGCCCAACATTGCTTTATGTATCTTACAGCCACCATAGCTTCCTCCTCCCGTTGGGCATCAAGCTCTATGCTAAATCTCCTAGAAACACAGCACAGGCTCTGACCAGAAGAACAGAATTTTATTGTATGCAAAGGAATTTATTCATGAAACTGTGTGTGTGTTTACTGTACATTTACTGTATGAGATGAGGTGGACAGAGCAATGAGATCACTTCCTCATTTCCTGAAAAGGCTTGCTTTACTACATTTTGGAAGATGTTACTAAGTCTGTTCTGTGTATTGTATCTCTTGGAAAACTCACATGCATAGTTTCAGAGCGGATTTTTATGCCTCTTTTTTAGTTTTCTTTGCTGTTTTTATTTTTCCATTTTATGATCACTTATGATCAGATTTTGAAGTATTATAGATAGGTCCATTCTTTGTCTTGTGATAGATAGCATTGCTAATACTAATGGAAGTACTTAATGAAGCACTGACTACAGGGATTTTCCTCAATGGACCTGAACAGTCTGCTGATTTTGCCCTCAGTATAATGAACTGGAAACCTTTGCCTCTACCCACTGTCACAGAAGAAAAACAGGACTATAGACATACTTTGAGTTGGATTGGGAAAGAAGAAATCATGTGGGCATGTCTAAACTATGTCAGACAGTGCAAGGGAGTTCACTGCTTTGACAACATGCACGACTCACTCACTCCCATTTTCAGGCCTGCATCTAGGACATTACCAGCATCATGTCTGGGCTGCCTTGGCTGTTTGCAAACATTAAGAAAACCCCCAAAGAATGTGCATCACCAGAAGAGGCAGCATATTACTTCGACTCAGCTCTGCAGCGTCTGTATAGATCAGGTGCTTAAGTTGGGGTTATCTAATAGCTGATTCAAGCTATCAGCTATTAGATAAAAGTGCCAAAAAGCCCCACTTAAGCACCCGATCTATATAGACATTGGACAAGCCAGATCCAACTAACATGATGCCTCTTCTGGGTATGCGCTAGGCTCAGCATGGGAGACCACCAAGTTTAAAGTGATGCGCTTTTTTAAAAATGTATTTAATCAGCCCTTTTGAGTCTATCTAAAGTTTTCCTAATGGAGCCTACATGACATTTTTTTGTGAGGCAGCAGAGCCTTCGTGACCTTTTATTTCATTGTCGTCTTACCCCAGAACACACACCATTGGCGTTCTTCTGCAGCTCCTGCTGCTTCACTTGACCAAAAAAACCCAAAAAATCAAAATGCATATAATACAATCCCTCTAGGCAGTTTTATTTGAGTGGCACTTCCACGGCAGCAAGTTCATGCAGCAATTCATTTGGCAGTAATATGTGAGAAAATGTTAAGGACCAATTCTGTACTGAGAGACCCATGCATACATCAGTGCTGAAGGCCTCAGTTCAGATTTTCTTCAAAACCAGGTATGTGAACTTTATTTTTACTGAAGAATTCTATTTATAAGAGAAGGTGTCTTGATCACAATGCTTTTGTATCAGTTGGACTCCACATATCCCTAACACAGGATCTAAGGCTAGTGATGGGAATATAAACTTTTATGCCTCTTTAGTAGAATGCTTTGATTCTGTTCTATAGTGTTGCTTGACCAATTCTCCGCTCTTTTTCTTTCCTTATTGGTTAGGTTATTAAAGAACACTCAGATGATCAAAAGTGATAAAAGAGCAGCCTAATCATGTGATAGCAGCAGTGCACCCATACTGCAGGAATCCTGCTCCACAACCAAATGATTGCAGTCAAAGCCTTCATTCTGATACTAATAAAATTCATTGAAATGAAAACACATGCATAAGGCTGAAGTCTGTGGACCTTTAGCCCTGTACATAGTGTTTTTAGTGTTGTAACTTCCCTTTTTCTTAACAGGATCACTGACTGAGTAAATAATTTACTCCCAAAAGTTAGGTCTTACCTGGTCAGTCCTATCTTCAGCTTATGGCAGCTGAGTAAAGCAAACAATGTTTCTAGTTTGAAATTGATTATCTGATTTAACATATGTGAAGTGTTAACATATGTGAATTCTGAATCTGTGGAGCCAGATTTTCAGGTTGATGTATCTCCCTTAGTTACACCTGTTTTGTAGGAGCTGAGTATCTAGGACAGGGGTTTTCAGCCTTTTTTAAGGAGTATACTTCTGGTGGAGTGGGGTGGTAGATGGCGGTGGCCACCACCATGAATGAGCTCCCACCCACTGCGTCCAGCTGGTGGGGTGGTACCTGTGCAGCCCGCAGAAGAGAGCCACTGCCCTCACCCCGCCCCAGCCCTGCTCTTGGGAGGAGGCAGTGCGGGGTGGAGGTGCGCCATCCCTGCCCACCTGTCCGCGCGTGCCCCCCTAGCCCCTTTTCCAAGTACCCCCAGGGGTACGTGTACCCTTAGTTGGCAACCCCTGATGTAGGATGTTTACAGCCTTTAAATTATACTCCCAATCCTTCATCTTCAAACATACTGTCGCATCGCAGAATTCTGCACTGCTGTTGAATGTTAAATCATTTCTATACATCAGTTACTAAATTGTCTCACTACTCTCTGAAATTCAGGAATATTGTAAAAAAAGTTGCCATTTCATTTTTTATGTTTGGAACTAACTTTAAAAAGTTTAAATATAACCATATTTCCAATTGTCTTTTACTATAAACAGTTTAAACCTGTTGATGATAAACATTTCCATATTTCAGTGGCTTTGAGATACCACGAGGCAAAGGTATCCTGCACCTATTGAAGTCTGCCCCCATGGAAGCCTGTGGACAAAATTTAATTGACTTTCATTAAGTTTTGGATTAGGTCACAGGGCTTTGACTTTGCAGTATGGGAATCAATGGGAGTTTTGCCATAGAATCAAAATCAAACCTCATTATCAGCGGTTTTCTAACTCCTGTTATATGACAATTCCTAGAAGTGCTATGAATCAAAGAGCTGTGGCATTCATGGTATTTTTTCAATGGAATTTATTTTAACCGTGTCTCTGAGATGAGATCCAGGAATTATAAAAGTATTAATTCAGGGAATAATCCTTTCCCAGAAGAAAAGAAAAAATAAATTTAGAAAATGACACCAAAGCTTGCACAGTCATTTACATGTTTGGTTATTTTGATAGGGAAGACTTTGATTGGTTTGTCCAATTACTTGTGGTCACAGTGTTGGCTACTGTCTATATTTTTATTCAATGTTTAAAAGTAACTTTATCTAAAAGAAATCTGTTTATGACAGGATGAATTCTTACAACAACTTCAACTTGTCCACCAACCCTGGATATTGCCAAGTGACACAGAGAGTGAAGGAGTGGAAGCTGATCAAGATAAATGTGAGTGTGTTTGTTGGTCATTGATTGTATATTAGAGAGTGTATGTAAAAAATACTTGTTCCCTCCCCTGATCCTGTACTCCTAAATCACACAAGTAACCTTGATTCACTAGGATTATTTACATAAGCGATAAGTAAGAGCTGAATGACTGAATGCATAGTCTTAAAGGGTTTCTTAACATAGGTGTTCTTACAGTTAAGACTGTATGTTCTGAATCATGTAAGCACCATAGCCCTGTTGCAGGCTGTTGGTAGAATCATGTTAGCAAAGGTCAATGGAATCCTGACCTAAATGAGGGAAAGGCTAACAAGTAACACACACTGTAAATCTCCATATTTTGAAGTCTTAACCAATTGTATCTGGCCATTAAGTATTGTAAATAATTTTGCTTGAAATATCAGAAGTCCTGCAAAACTATTTGAAGCACAGTAGTTTTGTGATCTGCCAGTGTGAAAATGTGTGCTATTTCTAAAACTATTTCAGGTTTTATTGCACGTGGAACTGAAACTGCTTAAATAAGTAGCATTAGAGTAGGTTAGGTCATTTTGCTAATGGAATAGTTGCAGATATGGCATTATTTATAATTAGTGAAAATCATGTATGATAAACGGAATATCCTTTTCCAAATGCTGTCCCTTAAACATTTCAAGAATTATATCTGCTCATGTGACTTTGTCAATTCACAGTTAGCCTGTGATATGACTTGCACATTAAAATTGAAATGTTGTAGTTCCCAAAGTATGAATCAGAACATTCTCAATGTCACAACAAAATAATTTTACATTTCCTGTCTCTACATTAGTGCAATGGATTTGGGCTCAGTTTAGGTTAAACCTAAAATTCTTATTTATTTGATGAGTATCATGAAGGTGATACTCAGCCCTGGGTAAAGGACTAGATCCAGAGCTATATGGTCAAGGGACCCACTCCCCAGGGGTGAAAATTACCATGGATTCACAGGCAGTGCAGGTTTAAATGCATATTGAATTGAGCCCACTGGGCACATCTACACATGTGCTTTAATGGTAGAATCATAGAATCAAAGGACTGGAAGGGACATGTAAGATCATTAAGACCGATCCCCTGCCATGGGCAGGAGATTATTGGGCTCAAACGAGCTCAGTGAGATGCTCGTCCAGCCTCCTCTTGAACACCTCCAAGGATGGTGACTGCACCGCCCCTGCTGGGCGTGTGTTCTAGAGTCTAGATACCCTTAAAGAAAATAAGTTTTTCCTAATGTCCAACCTAAATCTTTCCTCAATTAGCTTGTGCCTGTTGGTCCTTCTCCCTGGAGGTGCCTTTCTGAAGAGTTGCTCCCCTAGATCTTGGTGCTCACCCTTGACCTACTTGTAGGCGGCTATCAAGTCACCTCTCGGCCTTCTCTTGCTAAGACTGAACAAACCTAGTTTCCAGAGCCTAGTTGCCTATTGTACTGTGCATTAAAGCATCACATAAAAAAATACAATTATGCTAACGTGTAGTAAAATAGGCTATTGCACATTCAGCGTCACTTAAAAACTGTGCACATTCATTATTGTACATTAAGGCAGCCAAGTGCACATTTGTTTAGTATCTCACATTAGAGGTACTAAATTTAATGCGCATTAGGAAAAGTTTCTTAATATACGTGTTGACGTGCCCACTGTGTAACTATTATAGAATCTCTTTGATGCTTATACCACTTTTTGATTTAGCTTAAACTTGTGACAGAACAGAGAAGAAAAAATTATAAATGTAAACAATAGTTTCTTTCATGAAAAGAATTTATAGCTGTAATGTGCTTGCACCTTGATTGTAAGTCTATCTGGCATCTTACATAGTTGTCCACTGTGCCATTTAAAGTGGTTTATTCTTTGTACTATTGTAAGTATAAGAGCAGAGCAAAATATTTTGATCTAAGCAATATTGCCATGTTATGTGACATATGAGAAAGGTAAATTGGGTTGAAAAATTAGTTTAAAAAAATAATAATTATGTGGTAATAGCAGCCATCTGGAGGTGGAATGCTAGTGCTGTAGCCAAGCCCATAGCACAGAACTGCAACTGTTGTAAAATAGGAGCTGCAAACCCCCCAGGTGTTGAAATAACTGTTACGTAGAGAGCCAATGAGCAGCCTGGCATACTTGCTGATGCCAGTTCTGAGTGTTCACTGAAGGTAGAGCAGCTGGCAAGGTATGAATAGATTACATTTCATTTTTCATCCTAAATTTAATAAATCTGTGTGGACGCTGTATATGTGATTTAGTGTTGAAGGGCTTGAAAGTTCATAATTTATGAGTCTAAGCAGAAGAGCTGCAGAATTAATCTTTACAATAGCAACACCTGTTCTTTGACTCAGCTTTTAATAAATTATACGTGGGTAATATTTACCACATTCTTTGACTTCTCTGAGATAATAGCAACCATGTGTAAAGCTAGTCTTGGGCAATAGGAAAACTCTAAACATGAAAAAAGTTAGGTGAGAAGGCACATGAGTCACCTTGTGTTCTTTTATAGACTTCTTTAAATGAATATCCTCTAGTGAGTATTGTGCTTCAAACTCAATGACAAGTTTATATAGGGTAGCATTTCCAAATGTGCCTAAGTGAATTGGGAACCTAAAAAAAGAATCTTAAAATCAATCATGACAGTTAAGCACCTGATTCCCATCTACCTAACTTATCATTTGTATCTTTAAAAATCTGTCCTTAAACCAAATTTTCAAGAGTTCCCTTAAGAGTCTAAATCTCTCTGGAAAGTCAATTGTATTTAGCTCCTAACTGATCTTTTAAGTTGTTCTTCAGCTCATAAGTTATTTGAGGTTCTTTGAAAAAATTTCCCTTTGTTTGTAAAATAAAGTAGAAAGAATCCAAAAGAAATGGAAATGAACAATGTTTTTTAAAGTTTCACATTGGGATAAAGGGGAAAAAACATAATTTATTTTTCTATGATAAATCCCAAGATAGAAAAGTCTGGAACTCTTTAGTTATATTACTATAAAGGAAAATCCAATAGAATTATCCTGAAGAATTACAGAAATGCCATAATGATGGGAGAAAAAAGGAAGAGTTTTATGTTAACTGCTACTTTGAACCCAAAATAATATAACAATTGGGTTTCTTAATTTGATCTTAAATAAGATTGTATTGTGATTACAGTCCAGTCAGTCAGATTTATAGATGTGTAAATCTGTATCACTCTCTGTTGGTATATCTATACAAAGCACTTTACTGTGCATTTGACTAACCTAATGGCCCCAGCAGCCTTACCTGGGGTTCTGGGGGACTCCCAGGGCTCCAGCAGTGACAGTCTGAGAGCACAGAGCCTAGGCTGCAGTTTCAGGTGGCACACATTGCCGCCACATGCACAGCCTCACTTTGGACTCTGGTATGGGTTTTTTTGACACCGACATTTCTCAATGTCAGAAAAACCCCACCGTACTGCAAATTAGCACCTGCATGTGCAATCGCCTGCATGTGAGGCATATGTGGTTTGAGGCACCACTGACAGATTTGCAGTTCCACAAACTGCACGTGCTCACTCATCTGGATGCACCCAGACAGCAGGAGCCTGACTAAAAACTGATTTGGGGTGGGAAGATGCTCCTGGTCAGCCCAGAAGCATCTCCCCCCCAGTGCTTAGTCAGGCCAGGGAGCAGGGGCCTGACTAAGCACTGATTTGTGGGGGAGGGGATGATGTCCTGGCTGCGGGGGCAGCTCTCTCTCTGCCATGTGGGAATCGGGACCCATCCTAATGCCCATGTGGCTGAGAGTGCTGTCTTGGCCAGGACTGCTATTTCCCAGCTATGTGGAGATTGGGTTAGGACCTGATCTTCATGTGGCCAGGAAAGCCATCCCCACTGGGCAGGGATGCTGCCTGCCAGCCAGCCACATGGGGATCATGAGGGTCTCAGCGGGTACAGGTCTCTTGGCCACATAGGGACTGGGAGGGTCCTGATCCCCAACAGGGTGCATCCCAGCCACATGAGAATTGGGACCAGCCCTTATGCCCCCTGCTTGCCTGGGGGCTGGCACTCAGGCGAGTCTGGAGCTCCACCTGGATGCTGCAGGGGTGTGGAGTAGGGCAGAAGCAGACCTGGACTGGGATGCTCCTATCAGTTTGGGACACGTGTGTAGACATGCACCCCATAGCAGTTTAATACATTAATTACATGTGTAGATGTATCCTGTGAGTCAAAGGCTGCATACAGGCATTCAGAACCACTACAAGAATTCTCACCAACTCTCTCCAACTAGAAAACTCTACCAGGAGAGGACTGTACAGGCATTCCAAGGATTAGGTGAATGCTGCATAGACAGCCTGCACTACTGAAGGTTCATAGCCCACAGCCCAGCATGCTTTGCGGGCTCCCCTGACTGCCAGGGTGCCAAAAACAACTGAGCACACAGAAGAGCACCGAATAGCTGGCCACCCAAGGGGATCACATCCACCCAAAGAACTCCTAGCTGCAAGCCCATCCTTGCATTGAGAGAGCAGAGCCAGAGCAGAATACTACCAATCATGAAAATTTTCACTTCAGCAGCTCACAATGAATCCATATCCCTCTCATTCTGAAAGCTCAATTTCCTGCTGCATTCCTCTTGCCAAAGAATCAGGTTAGTTTGGATTATCCTTTCTGACTTCATGCACTAGAAGCTCATGATGGCAAACAGCCTTCTTCAAATGGCTTTGGGTCGCATGGCTGCACTCCTGCCTGAGACCCCTTACAGGTGCTTCTGCCCAAGCAGCCTCTTGGATTTCACGGAAGACTTCCATGAGGAAGAAGAGGTTGTACACATTTCTATGCAGTCCAAGGTACTCTGGAGGCATCTGAAGACCCACCAGTGGTTTGGGATCCATGAGACAAGTACTGGCAGGTGGGAGAGCCTTGTCTTGGGCATCTAGCATAGTCACCAATGGCCACCTTCTTGGAGGTAATTGCCAAATTAGCCCTGCACATCGAATGACAGGATATCATCATAAAGCCACCCCTGAATTTGGTGAAGTACACTGCCATTGCC